ACTCTAGAGGTATTATGTGTCCATCATACTTACGCACTACTCCTGAGGGTCAACTTTGTCTGATGCACTCTAGAGGTATTATGTGTCCATCATACGGTCCCATCATACTTACTCACTACCCCTGTACGTCAACTTTATCTGATGCACTCTAGAGTTAATGTGTATTCGTCATACTGACTTAATACCCCGGGTTCATATGCACTCGAGAAGTAATGTGTGACTTTCATCACGACTAACAACGTTGATATATACTTAAAATCACAGACACCTGCGAGCTCAAAGAAGGCAAGCAAAGACACCGATCGAAGATGGGCGAAACTGGAGCCCTTCATGGAAGCCAAATCACAATATTTCGAGTCCTTTTCTCCGTTTTCGTCATATTGAACATCTTAGGAAACTCACTGGTCATCATCACAATTATCTGCAGTAGACTTCTCAAAACACCTATGCACTATCTATTACTTAACCTCTCCATCGCTTACATCATCGTAGCCATCTTTTATATCCCGAGATACGTCATCTATGACCAAAGAGTTTACCCCGACAACAAAATGGCCGCGGATTTCATGTGTAAGTTTTTGACCGAAGCAAGTCTGTCATGGGTGGGTCTGCAAGCGTCAGTGTTTACTCTAGTAACCATTGCGTTCGAGAGGTATTTCGTTATTGTTCATCCCCGTATCGCGCTGGGAAGATTCACCAAAGCGACGCTCATTCGAGTGATAGTAGCGTGCTGGGTGTACTCCTTTCTTTTGACTATGGCAGAGTTTATTTACTACAGTTACGACAAAAAGAAAAACCGCTGCGTCTTCACCTGGTCAGAGCAAGTGAGAGAAGCCAACGCGTACCTTTGGTCCTTCACCTGCGGGATAGTCCCGATTCTCGCAATGGGGCTTCTCTATGGAAGGATTCTTCGCGATATTCATGTGCGCTGGAAGACAGAGACAGCAGTTTCCAGAAGAGCACTGCTGAGATCCAGACGACGGATGACGAAGACTGTCATCATACTGGCACTGGTTTACACCATCTTCTGGCTGCCAAATCTCGTAGTCTGGATCCTTGGTCCGGGATATAAAGCGTACGGCATCTTACTTGCCTGTACTCATATGTGTCTGCTCTTGAGCGGCTGTACCATACCTTTTGTCTATATTCTCCAAGATGAACAGTTTCAACTCGGTTTACAGGACTTGTGCTCAAGTCATAGCAATAACAGAGTCCAAGATTCCACTCGTGTCGCTGAGGATAAGCAGACCAATGAGGAGGACACAAATGACGAGATGATGAAGAAAGTGAGATTCGCTGCCCCTTTTGTCCTGGTACCAAGACTGGAAATGGAGCAGCTAAACCAGTCATAGAGAAAGCGCTTAAAAGGATTTTTTTAAACAATCCTAGAGTACTGGTTTTCAAGACAGCCACATGTTCTAGGACAACACCAATTCTCCGTTTGTACGTCATGGTGGGCCGGGCATGTTGTTGCATATCACGGCGTGAGAGGGCCCTTGGAACGTGGTTAATACTACCAACAAGTCAACGAATGCGTCACGCAAATTAAAAGAAAAAGGGGTCGATATTTTAGTATATATATATGTGTGTATATAGATTCTTTTGTTGATTTGATTTCTTAGTACGAAATCTTGTTCATGTTTTATTGTGTTTTTCAAAATTATGTGAGTAAACAGCGCAGTCTCCCTCGCATCCTTTTTTAGTGTCGGTCGAGCGTTGCGTGACGACCGACACTAAAAATGGATGCGAGGGAGACTACAAACAGCGTAGCAGAAAAACAAACGATGACAAATATGATTCTAAAAATAGCATAAAATGGTGCCTATGATGGTTACAAGCATGAATACCATAGTTCATTTTCTCTTGATTTATCTTAATAAAAAATCAAACAATCTGAATTGTGACAATCAAATAATCTGAAAAATAGCATTTCGAGACATGTAATCTCTTTCTCAGCCTTTATTGGTGCCGTCAGTATTAATTATTAGCCATTCCAAGGTTGCGAAAAAACCGAGGTCGAGTTTCCATTGCAGTGCATTGTGGGACTATTTTAGGAGACGAAATAGATGCCATCCTGGAAATGTGTCCCCTATAACAGCCCCACAATGCAATGCAATTTCAACTCGACCCAGTTTTTCCTCCAACTCTAAATAGCTTATTTATTGGGAGGGCCTGGAACTGCGCTAGAATCCGGGACAGCGGGACAGACATTAACTTCTGCGGCTGTGGAGACTGGACTATATAGATCATATCTTGTAGAGATAGTTACCGTGTAAATAAAATTCTACAATGTGATGTTATGACTTTCTTTCTACTTAATAGCCCTAGCTGAAGGACACAGAGGATTGTTTAACAATCCATACGGTGCCTCGGCTTATTAGGGGTATTGCTTTGGAAGTAATTAAGAACTTTCACTCCTGATTTTAAGTAGTTGTGTCCCTTTTATTCGTTTCTTTCTTTATCCTTGTTGTTTGCCTTAAAAACAAATAAATGAATAAATTTATTTAAATGTCGATGTATTTAGTTTATGCAACTAAATTAAACTGAAATCAAGAAATTGTAGTGGATTTTGGGCTCCCTGTGGAGACCTACTCCCCGCAAGGGGTTACTGGGAGATTTTGTCGTGCTCGATACGTATGTACGTCAAACACGAAGTAAAGTTTATCATTTCACACGAAGTTTAGGTGTATTTTAGTGGTGTGTACAAAATAATCAAAGAAACAAAGTGTTTTGAAAATCCCAACTGGCAACTGGCTTTATCTTTGAAGTTCTGCTCATGAAGATTCTTGTCAGTATTCATAGTTTTCTCCTAGTTTGAATAAAACGATGGGGTTCGAACCAATCCATAAAAATTCAAAACAAAAAAAAATCGATTCTACTTTGCCATACCCCCGAGACATCCGCAGAGCTGAGGCGTCGTATGGACTTCGGACCTGACGGCGATTAAATCCTTCTGCCCTTGGGTG